CAGAAAAAGGTGCCCACGACTTCAGCAAGAAATAAATTCAGCATACAAAGGTTTTGAATAGAACTCGTTGACCATTCAGCCACCACACTAAAATTCACTCACAAACTACTACTGATGTAATGGGTAGTGACTGGAAGTGAGATGAAGGTCAAGTTCAACTCCAGCTGAAAAGCAGGCTTCCAGGTCCCTGGTTCAATTTATGGTGAACCCTCGAAGAGTCCCAGAAGACCTCTCTCTAACTGATGTCGGTTCCTGACGAAAAACTGACACTTGAAATTAGACTTAAATCACCATAAATCTTACTGTCTGAATCTTGAAGTAGTTTCCAGTCATCTTTCAAATCGATGTAGCTGGAGTGATTTCAAACTGTTAATCGTCACAGTCTATGATTAAGCATTTTCCACCGTGAATATTCGTTTAATACTGGTAAACCAAAGGAGCTTTAGATTGAATTACAGCTAAGAGTACAAGTATTTAATATTCACGTTCAATGAAATGTGACAAATACTGAAATGCAATCGATTATTTGCATAACATACAGTTCCAGATAAAATTTCCCTTAGGGACTTTAAAAAATAATTTCCACTCATATACTCTAATGTAATAAATGCTTTTCAGAAATCCAATCATGAGCTTTAAAAGCACTCAATTATATCCAAACAAGCAAAGCAGCTACTTAGAGTTTTTGAATGATATTTGTCTAGTAGTCAGGTCATAGTACTGTATGTTTCAAACTACTCATTTTAGTTAGTAGCATATATATATTTTACGGAAAACTTTCCATTAGAAAAACCTCTTTATACGTAAATAATCGAATGTTACTCAGTACTTATACAAAAATGTATTCTGAGGCAAAAAAATGTAGGATAGGCAATCCTATTGAGTTGGTTCATGTTTCACATCCTTTTAGGTTGAGTGGGATTTGCAAAAAATCTAATAAATTTGACTACGTAAACAAAGCCGTGATGGTTAGGAGGTGAACGTTGTATGACACAGCGTTTTTAATCCCGGCGGTGTGCATTGGGTATAACTGCATTTAAATCCAAAGTGTTTTTATTCCACCACTCACAGCCAATCGATTTTTAATTTCAATAACCCATCAGCATTACTTAATATTATTATTTTGTTCTTCTGCGTTCCTAGTGGTTCATAAGTCTTCAAGCTTGAGCTCTGAAGATTCGGTAGCAGTGACTTTTAGCTTTTACGAGATGGTGTTACTATTCTCATGGTTAACTTTCTGTCCTTACAGAGATTATTATCGGCCTAGTGAAGTTCATTAGTAGGCCGCCAAGGAATGGAGCATCACACCACGTATTACTACTCTATATAGACGTGAGCGAATGTACAATAAAACTATTTCGTCCATTACTGACCATATTCGAGAATCAGCTTTGCGATGCTGACTCCTTCTATGCTGTGTAAAAGCTTAATATACAAAGTTCACTGTAGAGTTTCGTAATGAACTATACTCTAGATCAGATTATTTGGATAACCGATTGGGTCGAGGGAGTGTACACAATTGTGTCCTACTTTCTACTTTATTTATATTACCTTTAATACATCATAAAAAATTACCATTCTACTGAAATATCTTGAAAATCACCAATAGACAATATTTTTTCTACAATGGCTTTTAAATTCACACATTTTTGAAATTTTTCGTTTGTTTTAATAAACTACCATAACAAATAGGCGGAAAATTTGAAACGCACATCTACAATTAGGTAAATTATTTACAGAAGTCTAAGGAACAAGTGGTACAGCATAAAATCGAATCGTCTTTTTAAAAATGAGAAAAAAGTAAAATCAACGTCAACTATATTTTCATTTTTTTGTTTTGTCATTCAGGGCATAATAAGTTATCACATTCAGCCAGATACTGTCACTTATTTACTGAATTCCTATTTTTGTGAAACTGTGGCAAATCGGTCTAGACACTTGACTTCTAGTCACTGAATCACAGGTTTGAACGCTGCTTTATCTTCCAAGGCTTAAACAGACATAGAACACTACTTGTGCATTACGCAATATGTGTGGTTTATTTTCAACTGAATGAAACGCCACTGACTGTTAGATAATATCTCATTTCATGTCAGTTGTTATTATAATTATCAGCATAATTTTTATTAGTATTATTTCAACGAAGTATTCTTTAAGCTGGTTTAAATCCTTTTCATGGCAGACTTATTATCATTATTATTATTGCTCCCTTGGGTTCCTAGTGGAACATAGGGCTTCAACTGCACATCTCCATTTTCTTTTGTCCTCTGCTATACTTTTCGCCTGCATCCATTTTAATCCATATTCTTTCACCTCCTCTTCACACGATCTCCTCCATGTCACCCTTGGACGTCCCACACGCCGCTTCCCTTTCGGGTTCCACTCGAGGGCTTGACGCGCGATGTCACCCAGCGGTCTCCTCAGCGAGTGTCCGATCCATCTCCACTTTCTCCTGCATATTTGTTGGGCGATTAGTTCTTGCTTTGTTTGTTCCCATAATTCTTTGTTGGCAGACTGATATTTTTTAAAACTGATCATCAAAATTATTTCCTTCTCATACCTTAAAATATTTAATATCCAGCAAATTATTAAATTTTTTTATTTTGTCAGTACAGGGTAACCTATTTTATGTCTCTAGTACTTACTATTGCTGCTGACTGGATTCTGTGTGTCAGTGTGGTCGGTAAGTTAGACGACCCATCATTTTGGCTCAATTTCTAATCAATTTAAGGTAGTTAGAGCCAACCAGTAAGATGTCTCTGACCTGGGTTTCATGTTCATCGGTGCTTATCAACTGTGCATATTTTCAACTTTAAAGGAATGCATATCAGGTCGGAGACTCAAACCGGTGTCAACAAGTGTTGAGCTCACATATTTTATAACTGAGCTATTTGAACTCATGAAAAACCTTCTGTAGGTCTGCGACGGATACACTGATTTTTCTTTGATGTTAGTGCCGTCGGTGAAGCTTGCAATACTGTCACCAAACTGTGACCCATTATCGTGGCACATATTCTGAATTAATGCCGGTTGGCTATGGTAAGCCACCTAGTTCAGTGATCACAGTGAAAGTAGGCAGTAACTCTGAGGGCTAGATACATATCTAGCAACCTTGCATCCTAGCGATCAGTCAGTACATTGTTACACATTTGTAAAGCTTTGACTGATAATGTGTTACTAGCAATTAATATAAAGTATACGGTTCATGTTCATTCGGTAGCTGCTTTAACAACAGCGTATTCCAAAATATGCAGAGAATTATACTTTATCCTAAAATTCGTGTTCCAGTTATAAAGCAAGATAGTGAATGTATTTAAGTATTTTTGATTGGACATTAGTCAGTCTAGTTCCATCTTCGGTGTAGACTGAATTCTGTCAGTCAAGCTTGCAATGTCGCCACCATACCACTAGATGACTCGCCATTATGGTGAACTGTGAGATGTTGGTAGTAGGCAAGGCGCATCTGCAACCTCAAAGGGACTCATGTCCACGGGTTTGAATCTCAGAAGGGTTACTTTGAGATTGTAGATACGCCTTGCCTACTGTTGAGTGCCGACTAGCACAAAACCAAGGTCCAAGGCTTCCTGCCGATTGCCTCCAACCATCTAATACCAACAATGTATTGAAGTAGATGGCAATACTGCCAATGCGAAAAAATTAAAACAGGGTAAAGATGGTGAACTGATGTTCGATAACTGCCACAAGTCAGTTGACCCATAATGGAAAATAGTAAAGTTAGTGGAGTTAAAAAGGCACAAGGCGAGGTTGTCAACTATCACCGGTGATATTTTTGATTGAGGCGGACTGAATCATGTGGCGAACTATGGGAAGCGAGAAGACAGGTATGCGTTGAGCCAGCAAGAAGGTACAATAAGATCTGGACTTCGTAGAGGATTTTTGTCTAATTTCACATAAATTCCAAGACTAATAGGTGCAAATCAAGAAATCGAGAGGAGAGGAAAGCAAGGAAGGCAAGACTTCAAATGGACATAGAGATGACGGTGATAATCAATCCCTATCAACGGAAAGATTTGAAGGAGGTCACTTCTCTCACTTATCAGTGAAGCATCCTTTCAACTACAGGTGGACGACACCGAAGGGGTGTAGAAATCACAAAGGAAATGTAAATCTGTAAATCAGTTTGGAAGTATGTGTTACATTAATCATCAAGAACAAAATTTGGTTTCTCAACGCAAATGTTTAATCAGCTTTTCTATACGGGTCAGAAAATTTTCACATTACGAACAGCATTTCTAACAAGCCACTGCAGACCTTTGTCAATAGTTGCTTTCGTTCCATATTGAAGATCGAATGGTCAGCCAGAAAGGATTAGCAAGTATGGTGAAACAAATGGAGATGGACGAGGCACACGCGGAAAAGACCAGTGAGGGAAACTACATACGAGGCCCTCTAGTGGTACCCAGAAGGGAAGCAATAAGGGGGGTTGAGGTATGGGTGTGACATGAAAGTAATCATGTGAGGGAAGGATAGCAGCATTTGGACAATCAAGGGCCCAGCTAAAGAGGACTACACAGAACCCAATGCGGTAAAGATTTGCTGTTGGAGCCCTATGTTCCACTTGGAACCCGAGAAAATAATAGTATCTGCAAGTGTAACGCTTAATCATGGGACACGTAAATAACTATTAAACAGAACGATAATCACAAATAAAAATAATAGGATATAGCTTGAGAAAGAATCTTTATAAGTTATAATTTAATGTCACTTTAGTAAATGTTGACCAGGAGTGGAACCCATGACTCTCATTTCATCCTGTTTGGGACTCCTCATCGTTCTGAACACAAAAGTATTGTCCACTACGTTTACCAATCTAGAACTCCACTTCTAGTCCCTATTAAAATGAAATAACATCATGTTAATTCTTAGACCTCGTTGAAGCGCCCATACTAAAAGCCATTCTGTCAACAGAGAACGAAACTTTTTGGTTCAACATAATAAATAAAGCGGAAATGCATATTAACTTAAAATCTATGACTTACTTGAAAACTGTATCGTTTATTTGCAAACTTTGGTGCATTATCATTAACATCCAATATCTTTATAGTTAATAATTCAACTGATTTTTGACTCGGTGATCCATTATCTTCACACTTTAGACTAACTCTTAACTCTGGTTGTATCTCTCTATCAATCAGCCGTAATGAACTCAACTGATAAACACTAATTTTGCCCAGATTTCTTAAATAGACTAAATTCAGTTCATCTGTTTGGCCTAATTGGCAGGTGAATTTACCATTGTCATCTGAATCAGCATCATAGGCAGTAATAGTCGCAATGAGTACACCAGGCGGTGTATTTTCAATCAAACGTAGCTGTGATTTCGTCATATTACTGCTTGTATTCTCATACTGTGCATTCAATTTGCCCTCTTCATGTATAAATGCTGGGGTGATAGTTATCTGTGGTGAATTATCATTTTTGTCTTTAATATTCACTATAATTCTTATAGTTGCAGATAACGGTGGTACGCCACCATCCTCAGCGACAATACCAAAGGTGTATTGAGTTAAACCGCCTGTATCATAATCCAACGGTGTACGTACTATAATTCCACCTGATTCATGATCAATTTTAAAATCTCTTCTAGCTGTATCAGAGGCGGACAGCGAAAATCTATACGTCACGTGACCGAATTCTCCTTCGTCTTTATCATTCGCCACAGGCGTCTCCGGTAGTATACTCCCTACCGGGATATCTTCGTCGATGTTAATAATAATTTCGCATTGTTGTACTGCAGCACTTGAATTTTTACAATGTTCAAACACTGGAGTGTTATCATTTTCATCTGCAATATGCACAAATAATTTTGCATAGCCACGATTCCCACCCCCATCGACTGCTACGACTGTCAACCGATAGACAGGAATCTCTTCACGGTCAAGTAGTCCTTTAACAACTAATTGATAAGTTGGTCCATTTGGACTGGGTGAATTGATGATATCGAAAATTGATGTACTATTATCGTGTGATAATGCCAGCTCATACCTGACAATTGAATTTTCACCAATATCTGGATCGTAGGCCAAGGGTAAGTCTAAAATTGAACCAATAGGACGATTTTCTGTGATCCATACTTCAAGTATCGGTTGTTCTGTCGTATCTTTACTTCTTGGCCATTTCGGTGTATTATCATTAACATCACGAATGACAATACGTAGGCTTAGTAGTCGTCCATCACTGACGAAAACTACACCTGACCAGGCACATATCTCTGGCCAACCACTTTCACTGCATAATTTACGATCTGTATCTCTGTCTAACTCACGACGTACTAGCAATCGATTTGTATGAACTGGATCAAAATCAAAGTAAAATGTATCCTGTAAAGTGAATGTCAATTGACTGTTCTTTCCGTCTTTATTGTTATTTAACTGGTGATTGGATTTATCCACTTCAGGTTCTAGTTGAATTCTTCCAACTTCAGAGCCAATCACTGCATTCTCTTCAATAACAAATGTGACAATTATAGCACTGTTTAGGGAAGCATCAACTGTCTTGGAGTGATAATAATAATAATAACAATAATAATAGCATAATAAGTACAGTATTCTAACTAAATAATTTTGTGGAAACATTTCAGGGTGTTAATTAGCAAACATGGTAGAGTAAAATATAGTTTACATTTAGTCTTTTTTTCTACTTTCGTGTTATGGTTTCCTGAGATCTTGAAAAAATGTATTTTAACCTGTTTGTTTATGATGAATTAAATATGAATGAATACTGAAGGGAAATTTGGTGGAAATAGGATTGTCTTCTCATCAAGGGAAATGTTTTTTCCGAATCAGATGGAATTTTTTTGAAATACAGGTTCAAATATATAAAGCAGCCAATCAAAATTCAGCATTTTATACTACTCATTTTATCTGCTCAAATTTGATTGGTGGATAATAGATGATTAGCTGGAAGGCGATGGTTTGTGTAAAACCGTCATTCCTCCTTAATTACTCACTTACTTACTCTCTTACTTGCCTACTCACTTACTTAATTGCTTATTTAACTATTTACTCACTCACTTACATACATGTCAGCTGTTCAAAGAATATTTCATTTTTAACTGATGGCTAGTTCACTTGTAACAGTAAATAACACCAAAATTTATACTTCAGAGAAGAACTGGTTCATCAACACAACTATTTTCAGTAGTCTTATTATTAAAACCAGATAGAATTTTTCCTGACTGGCCATAAGGTTTCTGATATGTACAATAGATAGTCCAAATAGGTATTAAAAGAAATAATTATATTTGCAGTTTAGAACGCGTAATTGTGGTTAAATTCTTCACTGACGCACTCCAGAACCTCCCATGGCTGGTAATAAACTTAATAAGGGGGGAGAAGATTGGGTGCCAGGCTAGCAAACTTATTTCTATAAGACAACCCCACTGATGCTGAGATTTCATAGCTCAAGTTTAAGCCTTCAGTTTCACTAGGAATGCGGGAGAATGAAGATTAACGAGTTATATCATAAACTGATATCATTTAAAGAAGTATTGAAAACAAGAAAGTACTGTCCTAGTTTAGGACTTTTTAATCAAATCCATGCAGACTTTTGGACATGAAACTTATCACAAAATAGTCAAAACTTCTCGGGATATTTGAAACCCTTGAATTTGATGTAGTTCCATGTAAAATTAGTAGAAGGTTGGCTGGAAATAAGACAATTTTCTCTGAAGTTAGTTCATTTTATTCCATGGGTTAAGTTGAATTATCCTAACCAAAGTCAAGGTCTGTCACAAGTGACCCTCTAGAACCAATTAAACTCAGAGAGTGCTAGGGAAGGTCAATCCACATGGAATCATGCCTGGGCGTATGGATTTGGGGAATGCATCCCGTAAAGACTGAGTGAGTCTATACTCTTATGCAGGATTAAAGTAAGGGATAGGATTAAATACAGCGTCAAGATTAGGGGTAGGTTAAAGCTAGGAGTCAGAAATGTCAATGGATCTGTAAGTGCAAAGATCTACAGTCACCTGAAAAAACATCTATCATGTATGGTATGATGTCTCCATAGATTACCGTTGAAGTTACTGACAGACAGTCCTACAACACATAAAAGACAATTATCCAGTGTAATATCGTCCATGCAAAGTTTCTACTATATTTTTTTAACGATTATGCGACTTTTTTTGCATCTGCATTCTGATTGGCTGTTCAAGGTCACTGATTTCTTCGTAGTTTAATATCACCGTTGTATGAACATTCGTATTCGAGTGTTCCAGTAAAATATGCCCAACAGCCGAAGAGGACTGAACCATGGTTATGCGTAATATAGATTGCCCTCTCCTTCCAAGAAGATAAAGTCAAAAGACTTGACGCGCACTTTTTAGTGTCATTTCATACAGACATCTTTGGACATCTACTCAACTGGGATGTAACACGAAGAATTTCAGAGGATTCCTAGAAGCCTAGCACTGAAATCACTTTGTCATTAAACTTACATGTGATTATAGAAATTTACCAACCGATGAAAAGTATGTCGAGAAAATAAAAAGTCAGATATTAGGTAAACTAGAGGCTCAGTATTTTAAAAAGTAGATGTTAAATAAGAGAAGATCTCTGCAGACAGCCAACTGTAAATGACTAAAAAAAAACAAACGCCTCATTCCGTACAGAATTCGGCAACCTCACTTAACACTATACTGGCAAGTAAGACAGTAAAATATATGATGTTATAAGATAGTTGGAAGGAAGCCCCGTCTGTCCTAGGTTTCATGCTAGTTGTCACTTGTCAGCAAGGCATATCTGTGACCTTGAAGGAACTCAAGTCCTTTCTGAGATTCGAACCTGCGTCAGCCAGTAATGCAGTCAGAGACGTTACCACTGAGCATCTGTCGATTGTCTTCAACTCTCTAATATCATTAAATCAATGTGCACTGTGATGGTGAGCCACCTAGAATGGTGGCCACATTGCTAACCTGACTGATAGAATTCAGTCTGCACCAAAGAAAGGACTGGACACGTCCAAGTATCCAATCAAAATACAGTAAAATATTCTCAGTTAAACCATTCACCTTAGAGAACTCAACAACACTAGTTTCTAAGACACCATTTGCCTTCAGTGTATCTGAAGAACAAAGAGGAAGCGGATTAATAAACTGTAAATCCTGTTAAAAACAAGTCAACATTAAGAATTCACCAGAACACATTCTTGCCTTCAATCCTTTCAAAAAATGCAAGTGCACCATAAATAGAATATACTAGGAATGTTTATTATGTTCCCCTACAGATCTATAGTGTTCTAATCTATCCATAATCAGATGAAAGCGGTATATGGAGTAATGTCCTTTTAAATATATAAGTCACAGTAAGAATGACTCACTGAGTGAGGTGAGATATTTTGAATTAGAAGACTAAATGACCATATGAGTTACTGAATTACCGAAAACCGGAGAGTACTGCAGGCTTCTCAGAAGTATTCACCTGAGATACTACCAACAATCAAAACCAGGGCCTTCATTTTACCAGGAGTAACCGCTAATTCTACAACCAATGGAAAATACTAATTCATTGGCCTAATGGTAAAATACTCCCTAGTAACACGAAAGGTAATGGTTCGATTTCCAACAGAGACATTCCCAACCCCTGCCTAGTTTACTTGTCGATGGTAGGATTGAATAAGAGGGAACTTTGGGTCTGAATGTAAGGCCTCACAACCACCACTAACATAGCTATCAAGACTTTTGATGCCTTTAGACCACCCAGAACGTAAAGGAATGAAAGCAGATGGCGACATGGGAAGATAGCTAAACTTATAAGTACAGTCTATTAAGCGATAAATGAATCCAGACAAATTTAGACATGCTTATACAATTAAAATGTAGGAGTAATGAACCAATATATCTTTCGACGCTGTTAGAAACTAATTTTATGTAGAGAAAAAAATGATGTTGGTTGTTATAACAAATTTACATGAAACTTAAGTAAATAGTTTCTTATAAAGGAGAATAATGAAACCAATTTAAGAAAGTGGATAAATAAAATCGAGTATACAAAGATTAATTTGTACTTTCTTACACAAAAAGCTTCTTTATATTGATTTTATCTTATGAATGGTTTTTTTCTGCCCATTATGGTTCTTATGACTCTTTAACAACAAAATGCCATTAGTTTGAAGTATTGATTTACTTTAATAAATGTCTGCTGAGTAGTGTATGCCACGAGTTGTTGCTGTTCTTAATGAGTGTAAATATCTGCGATTATATTGTAGTCATACCGCAAATAGATCACTGGTACTAGCCTTTTTTCTGGTCATTATGTTCCCATCTTGGAGAAGCATACAGTTTTGGAAATCAATTTCACTGATGTAAAGGTGTGACTAGTCAGTTTCGAAGGAATTACTTATCCCTAAGAAACTGTCACAGTGTACGGCAATTCATGTAGTATTCAATAGGTGCTTGAAGCAATCTCCTCCGTATTTCATCAGTTAAGTTTCATCCTTCGATGTTTTTGAAAATTTTAGCATCTTAAGACTGTCGACGCAAATGAAGATGGATTGGACGTACACTGAGAACTGTGGAGACCATTAAGTGATATAAGACACTAGTCACACTCTTCAGTGGAACACGAATGGATTAAACGATGAGTTGAGAGATCAAACAAGGAGGAATTCAAAGGCGGTTTTGCAAAATGTGACAGAAGACAGAAAAAAGAATAAAATGAAATGGAAGTGTACTGTTGAAGCCAAACACTGTGTAGAACGTAGATTATTTCATGAATTGTTATCACTTGTTTGATGCCTTTCTTACAGTCGCACAAATGTAAGTAAATTAATAAGCACAAGTAATAACGCAAGCAGGGAACATATTCAACTCAGGCTGATTTAGTGTAAATGAGAAGTCGTAAACTGATATAGGTTTGTTTGTGAAAACTGTTTGTCTTATTGGTTCCTTCTTCTTCTTCTCCTTTCCATCATTTGGAATCATAGTTCTTATTAGTTTGCTTCTTCACGGATTTCAAAATTAATCGTCTTAGAATGTCTGTCCATTCTGAAGTATAAACATTGAAGTATAAGAAGTTAGACTTCGCTCCATGGTCATATTCCGTGGTAAAATTATTCTAAAGATTTGCCTTCTTAATCCAACTGAGCAGTGCTGCTCAACATAAACTGAAAAGTAAAAGTTTCGGATTAGAATGCACAAGATATCATTGAGAATGAGACTAATATAGCTGCCATATTTAAACGCAATACATACCACTAATGGAATGATAGATAGTATGGTGTGTAATACAATATATGTAATTATTTGTTTCTTTGATTATGAATTGAACGCACAGCTTCAGCGACACATCGCCCTTGAACCCTATTCTCTGACGTTATATTCACCTGACCTTACTACCGACCACAATCTCCCATTTCCTGTTAACGTAAAGCCTTCCACATCATACTTGGAACCAGTTTAACTGGTCACTACCTATTCGGGTCTCACTTGAAGTATGATGTCATTCGACGACGTCTACAGACCATATAAACCTTATCCGCATTTCCTTCCCCATATTTCTTTTGGGCGGTAGGTTCTTGCTTGATCCTCTGACTGTCGGATTTTATTATTGCTTATTGCTCCTTGTGCTGAGTGCCT